TCACGTTCTCACGATTAATTCAGTTATCTATTCAGAAACAAGTGTGTAATAATTTCTCGGAACTTCGGACTAATGAGATTTTAAAACTTTAAGCACTCTTGAATAATTAAGTGTGCTGTTATATTTTAATGATGACCTGGATTCATATATTTTTTTTTAAATATCGCGACAATAAAATAATCTTTAATGTATAAATCCACTCGAAATGAAGAACTTTTTTAATATCACAAATAAAAAAATATCAATAAATATAATGGAATAATGAAAAGCCTCATTCTCTACTTAAATCTAAATCAATCTATTTATTTGCTGATAATAACGAATTCTTGGAAGTTTTGATGAAAAAAAGTAAATTCTCTCTTTTTGACAAATCTTAGAAGATCGACTTTTGTCGATCTTGTACAGAAAACATTGAGAGATAAAATAGTTTTGATCGGAACTTGAAAAGGGAATAATTTTCCTTCAAATTTAATTATTTTAGCTGCGCAAGATAAATCTAAACTATTGGTGGCATTTCAAATTATGTCACTTTTAATTGTTACCAGATTTATTATATAATTTTATATAGCATATCAAAATCATTATAATTAAAAAAAGGATCGTATTTTTAAGAGTCGAAACGAAATTAACAAAAATTACATTTTTTTTTTTTTCTAAGATCACATTCATTTTGCCGATGTTATTTCAATAATCAATAATTTTAAGAAATAGTTTCTTTCCTTTTCTAAAGAAACTCGACTTTTTGAGTTGTATCACTTTTGAAGTGAAGGAATGGAATACAGACAGTGCCTTCTTACGGTAGCTTGCGTGACAAGACTGAAGGAGATAAGTGCTTGTGACACAGTCGCGGATCTCGAACTCAAGTTTCATTGGTATCTAGACAGATCCCACTCCTGGAGCGCGTCCCCCTGTAGACCGCGATCGCCGTCGCGGTAATGCGGTATCACCCGCGATATATACAAATACACAATGCATCAACAACGGATATATGCGCTTATGTGCGAATACATAATCGCAAAGTGCGTACATAAGCACGGGAGACGCGCGATGTGCGCGAGTGTAACGATGTCACCGAGCAGTATCTCTGTTACGCCTGGATTGCCGTGGACTGTGGCCGCACTCACGCATCGCTTAACATAATCCCCTATTCGACCGGGACTACATAGATTACGGAATGATACCTCCGATGGGCGCTGTACAATTATATCAGCGCGGTATTGTATATTCCAGCGTCGCGCGATCCGCGTGAATTTCGCGCCGTGCGCGCCTGCATTTCCGGAGAGGGATCGAGATAAAGGGGGCGGTCAAGGTGTTTCGATCAAATCCAGATGGATAATCTCAACGATGGAAAATCCACGCATCCGAAGCGAGACGGAAAGATTGCAATGTGATCCATCCGATCTTTTCAGACCAAATCGATGGTCCATTTGACAACAAAAATTATCCCAGTCGACGCCAACTTGAAAGTGACGTAACATCATATAAGGAAAATTGTTTTTATACTAACTAATTCGGTATAAAAATCATTTTTATACTGTCAAAACTGTAGTGAAATCAAACAGAATTTCTGTAGTTTTATAGAATTTCTAGTAATGGGACTCGACTACAGATTTGATTAGTATTTTCAAGTTGGATGTACAGTATAAAATGTCTATTTCAATTCGGTAGAAGTTCCTCGAGAGCAATACGCGATACCGCTGCGAAATGGACGGTCAATATCTCGTAACACAACAAAATCATACAGAAAAGGAGCAGCATCATGTGATTCTTTATTATTACAATTGAGTTTGTAGACGAAAGTAAACGAGAGATATATTTTGAATTTTGTCAGAGCAGTTTTTAGTTTGGTTTTTAATTCTTGAAGGTTATCTTGTGCTAAAATTATGTATTTAATGTAGTGTGGCAACTGAAATATTACCAAAAACACCAAAATCTATATAAAGTTGTGTGCACGTTAGTTAATTGTCGCAACGATTAGAGATTCATTATTAAGAAATTTTAGTATAATATTTAACACCAAAAAATTAATTATGCTCATCTGATAATGCCTACAAGAATTCTGATTCGTTAATTTTTTAATTGACACTATACTAGTTGAATCTATCAGAGATTTCCAATTATAATCAAATTTTTTTTCGGTATTCATTATAATTTTGTACTCCAAAAGTACTTTGTAATCGTTATGTTATCCCAAATATAATATTACATTTATATTGTTGAGTGCGAAGTTATAACTTTAATGTTACTTTTAACTGATGTCGACTAGGATATTGCTACAGTAATTTCTCGAAGAAAGAAAATGTGCCACCACTTACATTTATTAGCAGTGGAAAGCTTCTTTTTTACCTTGCGAATTAAGAGTCAGGAACGTGGACTCAGTATTCTGTTAAAATACCATCGCGTTGCAGTTTTCTCGATTCACATTCCGTTTTTTCGTGAAGGCATTCTACCGTACATAGCCAAAGATTTTCAGTTTTAAACACGAGGTTCCGATGCAGAAAATTATCCAACCAAATAATATTCCTTTCATTAATATCACCAAGCTTATTATGCAATCTACTTGAATATGAATGTGAATGTAATTAGCTTCAATTCAGGAAATATATCGTAATTTGTAACTGCTACACAGAAATAATGGTTGTAAAACAAAGTGAAAAAGTTTAGTATAATCAAAATTTCAAAATTTAACTGGGGAACGTATTAAATATAAAAGTTCAATTTTATAAACGACTTCGATCTCGGGGGCGTAAAAGTACTAGCGCTACTAATAACGATAACTAGAATAACAATTAGCGCAAAGTGCCTGCGGAACGCTGAGGTTTTGATGTGTACAATGGCGCGTGTAAAGGGTAATGAATAAGAGGAGCGGAAGGCAATTAACTGCCGCGCGGAGACTTCCGGCCGAAGAGAAACGCTGCTGCGCTTCACACGTTCGTTTCTTTATACGTGAAGTAATTCAATTTTGCAGCCGTATATTAATTCAATTCCGACCTATTGTTCTATGATATAAATCGTGCGCTTCGAGTGCGCATAATTGCATAAAACGATTCTTTTGTAGAGCAATAATCGAGAGACCGTTTTGTTAACGAGTGTACGCAATTACGACAGCCAAATGAGACTCATAATTTTTAGATAATCAAAAGGAATCCTCTATAAATCGCGACTTGTAATTCCAATCTCTTCGGGTTTGTTACACGCGATAGTTATCTTACGCTATAATTTTAATCGGAGTCAGCCCAACACGCGCGCGGCATCTGTATCAAGTGACGGCAGTGGAAATCGTTACGAGGCAGTGGATATTAATGTTGAGAGTGAAAGAATTTTTCGAACATTTAATTGGCGAATAATAATGTCCCGGCGTACGTGATAATTAAAAATTGCCAACAGCGTTTTAACGGCAAAATGTATATGTATACCCTTAATTAAACGAGAAAGACATTTAATGAATATAAAGTATTCGTAAATTTTCACGAGGCAATAATATGTCGTCACGACGGATCGGACATTTGAAGTTGATATAAATTTTATCGGGCAATAATGCTCCCTGATCTGCAATAAATTTAATTTTGGTCCATATAACTGACAACCTGCGCGCAATAAAATTCATACAAAAGCAGGATGCTCTGCTCATCTTGTCATCTGTGTCACCGTGCAAAGGTCCGCCTTTTACAAAATGACTGCGTTTTTAGGAATGCACTATAAATGCGTGACACCTACATATTTATTATTTCGCGCAACACGCTATTGAGATATATTTCAGTCCTGTCGAGGCATTTCACCTCTGCGCTTGTAATTTTATTAGAGTTTTTAGTAAACTTTTGTCAAAGGCGTGCGAGATTATACGAAGTACTTTACCGATTCACGAAACAATTCTTGATGACTTATTACGTCATTGTCGTGCCTGCTATTTCGACCACGCCCCCGCCATTTTTTACGTGCTGAGGCATTAATCAAATTCTCCCCAAGTTCTCTGGAGAGATCTCTTGGACGCCTCCTTATTGCGTGTGACGTGTGGGTCTCGAGGTGTGTCGGGTTTATAAATCTACACGCGCCGAGGAACACCGCACACAATTCTTTTGTTTGATTATTAAGTCTTTATTATTCTCCTTTTATTCACATTACGGAACAACGATTCTTGAAAGAAATATTTATCTAGATTTTGTTCGACACACAATATCGCGATGTGAACAATCTGTCAGAAACATATTCTGAAGCAAATGGTTAAAGCAATCCTCGCAATTTTCGAATTGTATCACATATTGTACATGACGCGCCTATATCGCGTTAATCATAAAAAGAACATCTCGCGGAAGATATGGCGTTATATATAATTCAATAAGTAAAATTTATTCGAGTATTATCTCAATGTCCGTTATAAAATTATCTCAAATACTTTCAGATGTATTTACTGCACGTCGCCGTGTCGGGATACATTAATATTTAGGACTTATTGGTATCGCGACTTGAGTAATATCTATATGTCGGCATCTCGTTAGCTCTTTCCAGCCGTCCGTTAAAATTTTAAACTTTGGTGTAGCTGAGATCGAAGCGGAACGCAGCAGTTTATCGATCCCGCGCGTGAAAACGATTTTCTAGAGAATTATACGACGTCCATAACGCAGAACAGACTTTATCGAACACAGCCAGGTAATTCAGCGTATCATCTGCGCGGGTGGGCCGTTTAATAAGAATAAAATTTACGTAATACTTCGGTGTCGTTGTGAAAATCGCTCAATCCGATTCGCGACGAGTGGTACGTAAAGCAAAATCGGAATCCATTTCAGATCGGGATAGATTAGTGTCTGCCGGTCGTAAACCAGTTATCCGTTCGCGAGCACATTTCCTGTCCATCAGCGCTCTATAATCCGCGCGCTCGACGCGGTTCCGCAAAAAGCGCGCTCCCCGCGAAAGATACATGACGATATACCATATATATTTTAAGAGTCGCGTGGGTTCCCCCGGCTCCTCGCTTTTTGTCGTCGACAAACCTCTTCCTCGGGTGAACGGCGCGACGATGGTTCTTTTCCCCGCGACGTTTTAATTCGCTGTCTGCGGTACATAAGGGGGCATGTAGGGCCCTGTGAGAATGTACTGCACCGCCACGACCATCAGCTGCGGCGCACTCCATCTGATGATGTATGCGCTTCCTGAAACAGAAATGCATTTCGCGTGTTACTTGCCGCCGTTATGCACGAGGCTTCTACGTGCGCGAGTTTATATATACGGGGTAGCCCAGGTGCGCCACGGTTCCTTTTACATGAGGTTTCTTGGGATTAATGTGAAATTTACATTTTCTTAATAGGGCTTGTCGGGGTCGATAGCTTCATTCGTGAGTAGAGATTCATGAATACTGGCGAGTTGAGCTTTGCCGTCTATTTCGAGGCAGGCTCTTTAGAGAATAAATAAATAAAGAACTGCGTCTTCAAGTCGTCATGAAATTCATAATTCTGATAAGGGCTCTTGCGAGGTCACCCTGTATATTATTAAATGATCCACCTGAGGCTACTACCATTCTTCTTCACGCAAAAAAGAACCTGGGTGGGTCCTTATGGAAATACCGTTTCGACCGTTTAACGCTCTCGTTTCTACGTTTTTCTTTCATCTATCTGCTTTAACTCAAGAACCTCCTCCGAGCTTTTTAAGCCATTTTTCAAAACACTACTTTCTTTATTACAATTTTCGTGTGACAGAAATGTTTCTGCTTTCCTCGATTCAATTTGAATTTCTGATCAGGAATTCAGCTTTCCGTCGAATTGAGAATCACCAATATTCTTTATCGATCGTTCCATTTTTGCCATTCGAAGGTTTCAATATAACGACACGTTCAGAGATCTATAATTCTATGACTAAAAGATGACGAAAGAAATTTTTTAGTACATATACGTGATTTTTAAGATAGCGGAACGTAAAAGAGATAGAGTACGAAATTACATAATAATGAACATGATAATGATAAAGTCGATATCTAATTGTATAAATTTTTTCTTTATACAAGCCCTCCTTATAAGTCCCTTTGATGTATATAAATATATTTTTTTAAATTTACAACATGTGTACTGTACAAATCGATAAAGTGACATAATGCGATAATAAAATCAACGATGTATCTCTCGTATATCAATATACCTATATCTACGAATCGCAAAGAATTATTCACCTTTATTAAAAGTGTCATCGGGATGTTTTGTCGCCAAGTTAATAAGTCATTTATTTTTACTTATATTTTAAAAGCAGCTGAACGAAAATGTCATCCGCGGAAACACATCACACTGTATACTTGCAAAATATGTTAGCCGTAGAATATGTCGGTGTCACTCGCCGTGTATGATTTGCATATCTCCCTTTACATTCATTTACATGCTGAAACGCACGAAAAGACTGTTTCTCGTTCCCATAATATCGTAATATTTATGCTTCATGTACATAAACGCGATTCGGAAAGCATTATACATAACACCGCGAAATCGATTGAGAACACGCTGGAAAATACATATTTTCAAGACGATGCTCGAATCGACGCGTCGTTAATTTCGCAAAAATTAACTACAGCGATTAGATTGTAAAACAATGAACTGCGAAGGCGTACTTACTGTTAAGGTGGTGAATAATTTAAATTGTGAACGCTCGGGAAATCAATAGGCTGTTGCTAATAGCTCGCAATTCCCGAGGGAGCTTACGATTAATCTGATTAATCAGTTCGATATATGTCAATAATTAATCACGCGCCACGTAGGATCAAATGTTTAGGTTAAATATTCTTAATGTGTTGTAGACCTCATTGTATACAAAGATAGAACGATTTTGTTGAAGTATCTCAAAATATAACTATAAATACAGAAAATAGAGATCTGAAAATAACTTTGTTGGATCAATATAATATAAAATTGAAATAATTATTTCAAGCATTGATGAGCAATGCAAAAAATTTTGGCATTTTAGCAATCAATTTGAGCGTTATTTGAAAGGAAAAAACTCAAACTACCTGTCATTTTGGATTTAGTAATCCAAATGTATAATGTTCACTACGTCTAGTTTTTTAGAAAAATCTTTATACAATAGTCCTGTGCTATTTTAAGATTTGTTTTCAATTAAATTTTTAGATACCTCAGCAAAAGCTTTCCATGTATCAAACAAAAGTAATCAATGAAGACTTTTTTTCGTATGGCATTCTCGAACATTTATCTTTTGATAATTAAATTGGTTTAGTAATCTCTCTCTCTCTCTCTCTCTCTCTCTCTCTCTCTCCAATGTTATATGATCCACAAAGAGACAAGATCAAAAGATGGAGGTTTCTCGTTAAAGTACACATTGACACAATCATAGATCTCATTAAAAACTATTACGTTTTCATTTATGACTTACATTTACACCACTTAAGAGTAAACGGCTCGCTTATTCTCTTTTTTTTTTTTTCCAGAATTCTAACCGTTTTACAAAGCTCGTTATCTCGGTAATTACGTGCGGGCAGGTTAAACGGCGGCTAGAAATTGGCCGTGCGAAACTTTAAATCTCGTTTAGAAATTTCACGGTCTATATTTTCGTGATACCTTTCGACCGGATCGACGCGCGGGTGCGAGTACGTGAGAGAAAACTATATGCAGCTTGACTCTGCGCGTTACGAAAAGCGGCTATAGAGAGACGCATGGGGAGTAAAGGGTGAGTTGAAGGCTTCTGGATAAGCGGGAGAGACTCGGAGTTTCTAGCGGAACTTTTCGTCCCAAAATCCCCCGGGTGTGTCTCGAGTGCCATCCCTGATCCTAGCCTCAACCAAGCGAAACTACAGCGGAGAGATCTCTTTGCTTTTTCGATAGACATGCGCCATCGGGATGCACCGATGCGTTCGTCGGAATATTGCGCAACGCTGTCCGGGATTATCCGGGATACCTTTCGAGTTTCAGGCATAATTCTCGCGCGATTGATTGTAAAGAAATCGGCTAAAACTTCCCGTGTGGCGTTTCCGATCTTAACAGAGAGAGAGAAAGAGAGATAAAAAATATCTCTTAAACTAATTACAGTATAATTAATATAAATAATAAAAATACTAATTATAATATATTAAGCGTAAAAAAAGAAAATATGAGCTTAATCCTCTTCTTCTAAGTTTAATCTACAAAATCAACAATATTTACACAAGTTAAAGACAAAATACGTATAAACAATATTTAGTTTCCACCGAAATCCTCGATTCGGTTTCATTTCGGCAATATGCTATTCCCATTGGAAGTAGACTTTGTAGATCAAAGCGAGAATAAAACGCCCGTTTATCGAATGTATTGTACATTCTAAATTGGAATCGTCCACATAACAATTCTAATTTTTGGAGAATTTGGTTTCAAGTCAAATCACATTTTACAACAAGTCGCATACGCGATGAGCACGTCGTATAAGCAAAACAACATATGATGCATAAAATGTACTTTACATTTATATCTGCTTCAGCTATCTCTGCGCAATATCGACAAGAGCTTTTTCCCAACTATAGTGTTTCAGCATTTATCAAAGAGTATCATATATATTGTCACAGTATCTCATTCTGTGTTATCACTCTGCCCTCCCCAAGTCAATAATGGTTCTCCGAAACGTTGCCTTGTGTGTCACGCGGATAATCTCAAATTGGCCACGAACGGAAGGGTTATGCCCCGCTTTTCCACCCCCTGGAATGTTTCCATAAGATTTTATTTACGTTGCGGCCGCTGATTTATCGCCGATCCGACTCACGCATTCGCGCTCGCGCCCGCGCCACTATATTTCCCCGTACGAATCTGTACGGAAGTGTATACCGGGAAATATATCGGTCGTTCCAGCGCGCATCGTAGATGCAACTGGGGGAGGGGGAGGGGGGAGGGAGTGGACGGAGGGTGCCATGCCGCCTGCAGGCTTCTATCGTGGACACGAAGCGGTATAACAGATTACTCCCTATCACGTCCAATATGTCAAGCTACGCGGACGACGAGGAGTCAAGCATTATATTACAAAATAAAATGGCTCGCGCGCGTGGTGTCCCGGCGCATACACCCCGATCCTCCCTCCCCCGGACGTGAAATACCGTGGTGTGCCAACCAGAAACATGATGTGCGTATTATTGGCATTTTCGTCGAAGAATTATGTATTTTTTTTTTTTTTTCACATTGAGCGCAGCACGAATCGAGAGTAGAACAAAACGTACAAATTATATTGCTCCTGCTAGACTGGCCGGTTAATCAGCCGATACTCGTCCAAGCAGAACAACAAATCACGGTAACGTCAAAATGATGTTAAATCGGTTAAATTTAAATCGTTACTGAAAAGTGACTTTTAATAATCATTTTGGAGCTATTCTAACGTTCTTTCGATGTTTATAATGATTTGTCCCTTACAGAAGATAGAGGCTGTGCTCCGAAATTCACTGTCGGTGGACAGAAATTTTATATAATATACGTTACGTGCATTATAGATTTTCGACACTAACAGCGAATATCGGAACGCAGCCATTGTCGCGGGCCATGCACACCAAATGTATGTACATGCGCGAAATGTATTGTGCATTGTTGTGAATGTATGCGCTAAATTTTGATTGGTACCGCCATTGTGTGTGCATGCTAATTTGATTCCGTCAAAAGGGATCTGGACGATAGCCTAGACTTTGTCTTCTAAGGCTACTAGTGTAGTTTTGCTTGGACAGGACGTGCCCCGGAAGATTTGACTAAATCTGGAAGCACGACTGTGAATTTTGATCGCAACGCGTACGAGGGGGTATCCACTAGCTGAAATATTATCCCACAAATTATACAATTTCATTTGATTTCATACGATTTTATCTAACAATGATTTCTCATAGCGGTTGCACACATATATAATATATAATTATCGAATTATACATGACACTTTTATATCATATCATAAATTTATAGGTACATACATTTTCTAATAATTTCGAGGATACTACTTCACGATCGCATTAAGTGATTATACAGTCAGTAAGCCGAGCAAAGAAGTGAGGTGTCGTCTTTTGAACAATCGCTCAGTAAATTTACTTAGAAGTAAATATCGATAAAGTACTATCTTACTGTTAATCTATAATAAAAAAACATGACGTTTCGACGCAATGCTGTAAAATATATCAAATAAATAAATAGTGCGCATGTACGTTATTGTCAAAACGTATCGT